TGGGTTAGCCATATATAATTTTTGGTAAATATTCGATTCCCAGCCAGGGTAGAAACATTAGGCATGTTTCTTTACACCTGTTGTCTATGTTTACCCATCAGTAAATGGGTACCTGGGTGTTAGCCGACTAGTGTGGGTGTTATCCTGGGACACTGACTTAATTTTCTTGAAATACTCTGCATAACAAGCACCATTCTATACAGTAGTGTGTCACTGATGTCAGCTATGTCTGTATACCTTGTACATGTATGTGTAGTAAATAATAATTATTATTTTATTATATTATTATTTTCTCAGCTATTTGCTGGGTTATCTTATTCAGACTTGGGCAATGTATGATGGAAAGATAGTTCTTCACGTACACCAAAAATGAAAGAAATCAGACCATAAATAGCGGAGTTCACTTCTCAGCCATTAGCGGCCGCTTTTGATAGAATGAAAGATATATTACAGAAACAGATATGATTTTGATTGCTTTCATGACGAAAAGTACCTTGAAATTGCGCTCACAGTAGCGAAAATGTTCTACTCTTTAGCGAAGCTCAAGAGTAAACAAATGACGTCACCGTCCAATACCTGTCCGCCTGCCAGTCTAAATTCCAGTACGGCGTCAAGAATGGCTTGACATTGTTTATACAATTATTACAATACTGCAGCAGTCTGCATAACAGTAAATCTTCTATTTTTTTTATGAATAAAAATTCCAAATGAAAAGCAAGAATAATATAAGAGGGGCCTGTAGCCGTGACTAATGAACAGAGAAAATGTTATTTTAGTGCCAGGAATGTCTGCACTGTTTATTCTGGATCCTATTTTGAAATTGGCATCTGTTGAAATTTGTGTGAAATCGGCCAAATTGCCAATTTCTGACCACTTTATTGGGTAGTTGAAATAAGTGAATTGGCAGTTTCTTGTACTCAGTTGACAGACTAGAAGAAAATAAGTTTATTCAGGTGTACACAAATACAGTTACATAGATTATCATACATAGCAGTGTATGTAAAGAGAACCTAGGATAACCCAGAAAAGTCAGAAAAAGTGACTTATTTCCAGTACCTGGCTTGGGCTTGCCAAATATGATTTCTGGTAAATATTTTTTTTTTCTCGGTTGTTTGTTGGGCTATCTCATTGAAACTTTGGCAATGTATGATGGAAAGATGCTTCTTAACATACAACAAAAATAAAAAAGACAGACAATAAATAAGGGAGTTAACCCCTCAGCCATTAGCCGCCTCTTTGCATTATATTTTCGTGTGGTTTTTATGGTTGTATTCTCATTTTTTGGACTCATTTGATAGAATGGAAGATATATTATAGAAATAGACATGATTTTTATTGCTTTCACGACGAAAAGTACCTTGAAATTGAGCTCAAAGTAGCGGAAATGTTCGATTTTTGCCGATGTTCAATGAACTGTGTAAGTCAAGTTGGTTAATTTTATTAAGTGTATTCTAACCTAACCACTCTGTAATTCGGCAAACTCAGTAATCCGGCACACTACAGGTCCCAATGATGCCGGATTTGTGATGGAGGACCTGTATTTATACAATTATTACAATAATGCAGTAGTCTGCATAACAGTAAATCTTATATTTTTTGGTGAATAAAAATTCAAAATGGAAAGCAAGAGTAATATAAGAGGAGCCTGGAGAGTGACTAATGAACAGAGAACATGTTATTTTAGTGCCAGGAATGTCTGCACTGTTCATTCTGCACCCTATTTTGAAATTGGAATCTCTTAAAATTTGTGTGAAATTGGCCAAATTACCAATTTCTGACCACTTTATTGGGCAGTTTAAATAGGTAAATAGGCAGTTTCTTGTACTTAACCCCTTCAGGGTCCAAGTCCAAAATCTGAAGTGGTGCTCCAGTGTCCATTAAAAAAAAAAAAAAAAAAAATTCTTACAGAATTGAAGAGTATATTTTTGTGAAGGTAACAAGAAAACAAAAATTTTTCTGATCAGTACTTACCGAGATACAGTGCCGAGAAGTTGACCCAAAATGACGTGGTGGCGGCAACATTGACGATTTCCACATACGCGCATTACTTTATTTAACGTTTTTTGTAGTTTTTTCTTTTCTTTTCTAATTTTTTTCTTTTCCTACTAACATTTGGGGCCTGAGAGACCAATACTGTATATAATGTATATATATATAAACTCACTGTATTGAACACAATAACCACACCGAAGTTATTATCATATTATTGTTTACCACTGTTGTTTATTACAATAAACATGCACAAATCTTGTATAATACTAATGTTCTATCATATATTTACATATTTACAATCACTGGACATGGTTTTAGAACTGCTGGAGCTTGTGGAACTCCTTGAAACAAGGCACCATGCACAGAGGCACCTTACATTCCTCACACATAAACCAAGTGTCTTTGCGTCTTTGTTGCCGTCGTTTTGTTTGTGCACAGACAACACATCTCTTCTGAGCAAATTTCTTCTGAGTTGAAGGAAGCTGTATTATGAAATGATCACCTTCCCTCCTCAAACGCTTGGGTATATCCTGAGGAGTTCGAGGACCTTGTATGGCAGGTGTTGTTACCTGGTACTTCATTATGAGTTGTCTGACAACTGGCAAACAAAATTCACCATACGGTGGTCTGTTGCTAGTTTTCATTTGGTACATATTATATGCATTGAGCATTGAAATGTCCATGAGATGGAAGAAAAGTTTCATGTACCACTCGTAACTTTTACGAACACAATCAACAAAGCCAATCTGCATGTCACATTTGTCAACCAAGCACATGTTTTGTGTATAATCAATCACTGTCACTGGTTTTCGAATATGTTCATTAGTTACTCGATCAACTTTGCCACTGTCTTGCATTTCGTTACGGTGAATGGTTGTCAACAATGTGACATCTTGTTTGTCATGCCACCGTAATGCCATGATGTCATTGGCAGTAAACACATGCATCACCACGAGCACCTGCGTTGAGCCTGGGCATATGTTTACGATTAGAATGCACTGTGCCACACACATCTGTCTTGTTCACTCGCAAGAAATCACTGAGTAAAGGGCTTGTGTACCAGTTATCAGTATATAATGTATGCCCCTTACCAAGATAAGGTGCCATCATGCTTCTCACTACGTCACCTGAGATACCCAATAACGTCTTAGTATCTTTCAATATTTTACTTCCCGTGTATACAACAATATCCAATACCAGGCCACTGTCACAGTCACAGAGTACAAACAGTTTTATACCAAAGCGTTTCCTCTTGCTCGGTATATACTGCTTGAATGACAGCCTACCTTTGAACAAAATCGAAGACTCATCAATTACAAGATTCTTGAATGGATAAAAGTACATGCTAAACTTTTGTTTGAGATACATAAAAACATTTCTAATCTTGTATAACCTGTCACTTCTGTCAGGCCTGGTTTTGTCAGAGAAGTGCAACATACGTAACAGTAAGATAAACCTGTTCACTGGGATGATTTCACTGAAGACCGGGGTAGAAATTACCCGATCAGTGGACCAGTATGCTTTTATGTTATGCTTATAGACACGAGGCATAAGCATTATTGTTGCAAAAAGCAAATACATTTCTGCAACAGTCGTCTCTTTCCACCGGTGTAGTCTTGACTGTGGTGATATGATCGTATTTGCCATGGTGTACTCAAAATATTTGTTAATTTCCCTGACAATAATTTCCATCAAGGGTTGGTCAAAGAATATTTCAAAAAATTCCAGTTCATTGGCCGTGGTTCCAAGGGAACAAGTAGGTAGAATTCCACTTTGAGTCATCAAAGTGGTGGGGCTTGGGAACAAAATTGGGATTTTCCTGCCAATCCCAGATACGGTTTGCTGGTGGATACTGGACATCATAGGCTGGTTGTGCGGGCAGTTGTGGTTGTGGTGGGCTGGTGGCTGACGCTCCGCTTTGTCCTTGAACTGTGGAGTCAGCAGCGTGGGTCCCAGCCTGGGCTGGCGAGTCACGCATGGCCGTGGCACTACCATCACCACTACCACCATCTACTGATGCCTGTGGTCTATCCATGCCAAGTGTAGCCACATCATCCTCACTTTCACTGTCTATTCCTGGTGTAGGGCCACGGGATGTACTCCGGGACGTACTCCGTCCCCTGGGCACGGCATAGGGTACATTACCCGAGCGCATGCGGCGGCGTAGATACTGACGCTTCACTGGTGAATATGTTTCCTCACTATCACTACTCGAATGATCGTCAAGAGCAATAAAATCACAATCCACGTCACTATCATCATCATTACTGAAGTCAGAGGCCTGGCCACGCAAAAATAATAGTTTTCTCTTGCGTTGAGGTACAACTGACCATGACTGAGGAGTGCCCACACCAGAGGTAGAAGGTTGAGGATTGTCAGGGTTTTCTGCACTATTATCGATATCCTGGTCATTCCTTTCGGTCACTAACTGATCAAAGCCAAAGAATTTGTCTTCATTTCCACTTCTATCAGTGTCAGAACTATCAGATAGGAAGAGGAGAATCCCAATTTTCCTTGGAGTGAGAGCTGCCTTGCGACGAGGCATGGTGAACAAGGGTAACTAAGCCGGCGTTCCCACAATGCTATGCGGTCGCCTAGATTTTTTGTTTTATGGCGCACACCCACCACACAGACCCGTTCTCTCACATCTAGGCCTATGAGCGTTTTCGCGCTAAATTTGACGCCGCTAGAATTTTGGCGTAGATCTAAGGTTTGGACACTGAACGTGAAGCCGTAGATCTACAGGACGGACCCTGAAAGGGTTAATTGACAGAACAGAAGGAATACTAGTGAAATAGCTATGAGCTTGGTGGACTGGAACAATGGAATGGGCCAAAAATTGGGCTTACAGTGGGTGAAATCGCCGATGTGTAAATATCGCCGTTAGGCTAAGTGTATTCTAACCTAACCACTCTGTAATCCAGCAAAATAACTAATCCAGCACCCTGCAGATCCCAATGACGCCAGATTAGTGATGGTCAACCTGTATTATTATTCCTACAACATACCTGAAACTTCTGTAAAAATCATGATCAATCTTTCCAACTGATTTTATAATACGAGCGAGCCGCTTTTGCATCTCTAGAAGCTGATTGTATAGTTCTAAATGCAGGCTTGTCACCAGTCCTGAGATTCAACAAAGAAAATTACAACAAAGGAAATTAACTTAAGTATCTTAGAATATCAAATATCTTTAAGTGCAATGAGTAGGCATTCTATTCAATTGCTTATGCTGTAAATGATATTTGAGGGCATAGTGAAATATGTACACCCCCAAATAATCGCAACAACTCCTCAACCCTCTGAATTATGCCCTTGGCATATCTTCTAAGCAATTAACTCTATACTGAATGTGTTATTAACTAAAAGCCTTCGAATGGTCTCACCACAGTTTATAAAGTATGCATAATACAGAGAGGAAATAGAAATTTCCAAAGCAACAATAATACCAGCTTCACCCACCGAGTGCACCATGTACTGTGCCATAGAGAACACATCCCTGGGTGACAGTTGATGCCTCAGGCACTCCTTGCATTACTAGTGTGCCATGACGAAAGACGTTCACAAAATCACCGAGGTGGAATCGTCCAACCTCTTGCATTTGTTGACGTTCTTCATCAGAAGTTGCAGCGCTAAAAAACAAAGTTAAAATGGATATTTACAAGTCACATTAATGCAACTGAGGAGGTATTCCCAGTCTCAGGTAACATTTTATGTTTTTTTTTTTAACTGTTATCTCTCCTTTGCTCAAACTTTCATTTATTTATTTATTATTAATTTGGACATGATACATAGATGTACAAAGAAATACAGTGGTTAAGTGTAACATGCCAAAAGCTCCTTGTATGCAGAGCATTATGGGCAGGCTTAAAATTAACTTAAGATTAACTTAGCAATGATATATTCAGTGGTAAAAATTAAAGGAAACAAATAACAATTAAGCACAAATGAGTATTTCAAAGACAGGTCATATGGTCATTTGCCGAGTTGCTGTGCATTCAGTAGAATGGAGTATTCTGTTAGGTAATGTAATTAAAAAAAAAAAAAAGTTTGATAGGGTCACAGGTTAAACATTTACGAGATACAATTATTCAGTATTTATTTAGTTGTGGGTGAGTAAGTGATTTTTACCCCCCCCCCCCACACTAAGCCCTCCTATCTGCAATATAAACATACCAATGAACATATTTGTATAAAATATGATTTTGTATAAAATATGATCTTGTATAAAATTTAAAATATGAAATAACTGTACTTCAATTACTATAGAATACAGCTAAAATTACTAAAGCCTTAAAGTTGATAAAATAGAATTTGCAAGAACTTGAAGTACTGTACATAAATTTTATATAAATCATTAGCTTAAAACACATCATTTTAAAACTTTGCCTAATCTACTTCATATTTAAGTTGAAATTTCTCCCAAATAATGAAACACAAAATAATCTTCACTAATGGATTATTTTGGTTTTTCATTTGTTGGCAAGTGTGTGAAACCGCAGTTTATGTAGAGCTCTGTCTCTTAGCACCCATAGCATCACATTTTTCATCACAAGTCTTCCCAATCATCTCCCCATACTGAAACTTCCTTTCAAATTTTTTTATGAATATAGAAAACTTTTTTTCAGCCTTTGAATTACATAAATCCCAGATGTGCAGTCATTCACCTCTTAAAAAAACAAAGCCTTAATAAAAGATAATAAAAATTAAATCAATAAATAATGAATCTACATTTGGTATACAGTTCACATCTGATAGCAGGAACATAAAATTATTGAGAGATTTCTAACCATGTACAATAGCGCACTCACACACACATTTACAGCATTTTATGGCATTGAAGACACTAATTCTTTCCCAAAATAAGTTGCCAAAATTTATCCAGCGTCTTGGAGGCGGAAGTACCATTTATCTTTTTTTTTTCCTCAAATTTAGCCAATCAGAACCGAGAGGGCATACTCGACACCGGAGCATCTTGTTCGCCGTAAAATACAGTAAGTGTATTAACAAACTTATACTGACATCTTTTATTCACATACCATTCTACCTATAAAAACTTTTTATAGGCTTGATGAGCACTGTGTTAGACACTGCTTACCTATCTTTGTGACAAACAAAAAGATTGTGAGAATGTTCTGCTCCAAGGAAAAGCTCATCATCTAAAATCTCAATTGCTGTCATCCAGTTGGGGTCATAATCCCTTGCAATCTGAAAGGTTTAAATAAACTCTCAGCCTAAGATCAAAATTTTAATTTGATGAAAATAAACATGTATTTTAAAACTTATAGTTTTACTGTCAAAAGCCCTCCTTTAATTACCATATATGCTAAAATCCATTCCAGGTGCTTGCTTCAATGTTATATTATTAAATTCATGGGAGAGCACTAAACATGCAAAGATCACATAATTCCTGAGGAATAGGAGGCAATCAGGTTTGATCTGAGACATGAAGGGTAACTCCAATTCCTGTGATCAAGAGACCTTCCTTAGCATCAAGGCTCCTTCCCTTGATGAGATGTAACAAAATAACATGCTCATAATATGTTTCTCACAATCTAACTATATATATAAACAATACTTCATTCCCAATTTTAAGAAGAATGGAAACAGAAGCATTCAGCTAAAAGATCCTCAGCCTTTCAATTGCTTCTAAAATCAGTAACATGAAGAACCTAGAATACAAGTCCAACTCTAAAGTAACGAACCAAAAAAGGCACAATGCTGTAATTGGAACGATACACAAATAACCCGCACATAGAAGAGAGGAGCTCATGACAACGTTTCGGTCCAACTTGGACCATTTACAAAGTCACGCTAATGAAAAGGAGAGAAGGAGGGAGTATATATAGGCCAGGAGGAGGTAGTGGTAGTAGTGGAGGTAGAAGGTAGTAGTGGGGAAGGTGGTAGTAGTGGAGGTGGAGCCAGTCAAGTACTAAGAAAGAGGAGCACTGCAAGGGAGCTAGGGGTCACAGAGGGTAAGAACAAGAACACAGAGGGGGGGAAAAATAAATAATGAAGGAACAAATACCCAAGGCAGAAGAAAGACAACCCAAAAGAGAAAGAGGAAAGGGGAAGAGGGAGAAGAAAAAGGAATCAGGTTCAGTCATGGGTGTTCTGAAGTCTGGAGCATTTTACAATGTAGTGGGAAAGGAAGGCATCTATAGAGACGAAGCCAGGACTAAGATTCATACAAGGAAAGTTGTGTATAAGGGATGATTCAACCAGACAGTGATAGAAAAGAGCATTGTTAGTGTCAGCAAGCCTAACACTACTTTTGTGCTCCCTAAGTCTGTCAGAAAGAGATCGGCCAGTTTCCCCAAAGTACTGAAGAGGACAGGAGGAACAAGAAATAGAGTAGACACCAGGAGCATCTATAGAGGTATGAACTAGTTCATACCTTGCAGTGCTCCTCTTTCTTAGTATTTGACTGGCTCCACCTCTACCATACTACCTTCCCCACTACTACCTTCTACCTCCACTACCACCTCCTGGCCTATACATGTATATATTCCCTCCTTCTCTCCTTTTCATTAGTGTGACTTTGTAAATGGTCCAAGTCGAGCCGAAACTTCGTTGCAAGCTCCTCTTTTCTATGTGCGGGTTATCTGTGTACCAACTCTAAAGTAAAATAAATTAAATTGTCTTCACCTCTTCAAAACTACCCTCCAGTGTCTTGTACTGCAGAAGGGTCATAGAACGCATCAGGTCTCCAACAAGGATGAAGTCGCCTTTGGTTTTCAAGCACAAAGCAGCAACATTATTGAAGTGAGAACATTCAAGACGTAGTTCTCTTTCATTTGTCCATTCAAATAACCTCACCTGAAAAATAATTATTACAGTACTTCAATATTTTAAAATAAAAGATCTACTCTAAAATTATAAAGGAAATACAATGGAACCTTGACTTACGAGTGCCCCAATGTACGAGTTTTTTGAGATACAAGCCATCGATCAGTCGATCTTTTGCTCTGAGTTATGAGCCAACATTTGAATTATGAGCCAGCTCCCCCCCACTTCCCCCTCAACCCAAAACCTGGACACCTCTCTTGTTTATCTATGATTTCATGCTTTAATTCCATGGAAATCATCCTCTTTTTCTTCTCAGCACTGTCCTTTACACTTACTTTCTTAGGACCCATGGTTAGAAAAGCAAAATTTGGCCAAATGACTGTCAAAAATGCAAGCAAAGCAGGAGAGAACTACTCCCACAGCTAGGTAAACAGTACACCGAGTTGGCTTCGTTCTGAAGCTCACATTGTTATAATAATGTATTATTATTATTATTAATTTAGGGAACTGAAGCTCTATAGTTATTGTAATAATTATTATTATAATCAATATTATTGATAATAATTTACGGAACTGAAATCCCTCACCAGCGTCAAGGTTCCTTGACACTGCTGAGGGATTCTTGATCTAAGGAATTGGATATGTGCTTTAGTTCCTTAAATTAACAATAATTATAATAACGACAGAGCTTCAGTTCCCTAAATTATCAATAATAATAATAATTATTACAATTACGTATGTATTGTGTACATAATACGTACATAATAATTATGAATGCTACCGCTAGTTGGCGAAGCTGATTTCAAAACATCCGGTAAGCAGTACACGTTTACATCACTGTGGGAGCAGTTCTTTCCTGCTTTGCTTACATTTTTGAAGTCATTTGGCCAAATTTCGCTTTTCTAACCATGGGTCCTAAGAAAATAAGTGCAAAGGACAGTGCTGAGAAGAAAATGATGATGATTTCCATGGAATTAAAGCATGAAATCATAGATAAACATAAGCAAGGTGCACAAGTTGTGGATTTAGCCAGACAATACCAGCGAAGTACGGTGGTCCCTTGCTTTTCGTAGTTCTCGGGAATCATAGATTTCGGAAATCATAGGGATATTTTCGTATAAACTTGGGCTCGCTTTTCATAGGTTGACTCGCAAGTAGCAGTTCGTCCAGGACGCACGGTGTGAGCCAGGGTGGCAGCCAGTCTGGCATTGTTTACCAGTGAGCGAAGGTCCCCTCACGTGCTCCTACGAAATATTTCATAATATTCCACTCATTTTAGTGCTTGCAAGTACTAAAGTACAAGGAGAATAGAAGCATCAGGGAAGAGAGAGGTGAAGGTTTATAAACTAAAAGAGGAGGCAGTTAGGGTAAGATATAAACAGCTATTGGAGGATAGATGGGCTAATGAGAGCATAGGCAATGGGGTCGAAGAGGTATGGGGTAGGTTTAAAAATGTAGTGTTAGAGTGTTCAGCAGAAGTTTGTGGTTACAGGAAAGTGGGTGCAGGAGGGAAGAGGAGCGATTGGTGGAATGATGATGTAAGAGAGTAGTAAGGAGAAAAAGTTAGCATATGAGAAGTTTTTACAAAGTAGAAGTGATGCAAGGAGGGAAGAGTATATGGAGAAAAAGAGAGAAGTTAAGAGAGTGGTGAAGCAATGTAAAAAGAGAGCAAATGAGAGAGTGGGTGAGATGTTATCAACAAATTTTGGATGAAAATAAGAAAAAGTTTTGGAGTGAGATTAACAAGTTAAGAAAGCCTAGAGAACAAATGGATTTGTCAGTTAAAAATAGGAGAGGAGAGTTATTAAATGGAGAGTTAGAGGTATTGGGAAGATGGAAGGAATATTTTGAGGAATTGTTAAATGTTGATGAAGATAGGGAAGCTGTGATTTCGTGTATAGGGCAAGGAGGAATAACATCTTGTAGGAGTGAGGAAGAGCCAGTTGTGAGTGTGGGGGAAGTTCGTGAGGCAGTAGGTAAAATGAAAGGGGGTAAGGCAGCCGGGATTGATGGGATAAAGATAGAAATGTTAAAAGCAGGTGGGGATATAGTTTTGGAGTGGTTGGTGCAATTATTTAATAAATGTATGGAAGAAGGTAAGGTACCTAGGGATTGGCAGAGAGCATGCATAGTTCCTTTGTATAAAGGCAAAGGGGATAAAAGAGAGTGCAAAAATTATAGGGGGATAAGTCTGTTGAGTGTACCTGGTAAAGTGTATGGTAGAGTTATAATTGAAAGAATTAAGAGTAAGACGGAGAATAGGATAGCAGATGAACAAGGAGGCTTTAGGAAAGGTAGGGGGTGTGTGGACCAGGTGTTTACAGTGAAACATATAAGTGAACAGTATTTAGATAAGGCTAAAGAGGTCTTTGTGGCATTTATGGATTTGGAAAAGGCGTATGACAGGGTGGATAGGGGGGCAATGTGGCAGATGTTGCAAGTGTATGGTGTAGGAGGTAGGTTACTGAAAGCAGTGAAGAGTTTTTACGAGGATAGTGAGGCTCAAGTTAGAGTATGTAGGAAAGAGGGAAATTTTTTCCCAGTAAAAGTAGGCCTTAGACAAGGATGTGTGATGTCACCGTGGTTGTTTAATATATTTATAGATGGGGTTGTAAGAGAAGTAAATGCGAGGGTCTTGGCAAGAGGCGTGGAGTTAAAAGATAAAGAATCACACACAAGTGGGAGTTGTCACAGCTGCTCTTTGCTGATGACACTGTGCTCTTGGGAGATTCTGAAGAGAAGTTGCAGAGATTGGTGGATGAATTTGGTAGGGTGTGCAAAAGAAGAAAATTAAAGGTGAATACAGGGAAAGAGTAAGGTTATGAGGATAACAAAAAGATTAGGTGATGAAAGATTGAATATCAGATTGGAGGGAGAGAGTATGGAGGAGGTGAACGTATTCAGATATTTGGGAGTGGACGTGTCAGCAGATGGGTCTATGAAAGATGAGGTGAATCATAGAATTGATGAGGGAAAAGAGTGAGTGGTGCACTTAGGAGTCTGTGGAGACAAGAACTTTGTCCTTGGAGGCAAAGAGGGGAATGTATGAGAGTATAGTTTTACCAACGTCTTTATATGGGTGTGAAGCGTGGGTGATGAATGTTGCAGCGAGGAGAAGGCTGGAGGCAGTGGAGATGTCATGTCTGAGGGCAATGTGTGGTGTGAATATAATGCAGAGAATTCGTTAGTTTGGAAGTTAGGAGGAGGTGCGGGATTACCAAAACTGTTGTCCAGAGGGCTGAGGAAGGGTTGTTGAGGTGGTTCGGACATGTAGAGAGAATGGAGCGAAACAGAATGACTTCAAGAGTGTATCAGTCTGTAGTGGAAGGAAGGCGGGGTAGGGGTCGGCCTAGGAAGGGTTGGAGGGAGGGGGTAAAGGAGGTTTTGTGTGCGAGGGGCTTGGACTTCCAGCATGGCATGCGTGAGCGTGTTTGATAGGAGTGAATGGAGACAAATGGTTTTTAATACTTGACGTGCTGTTGGAGTGTGAGCAAAGTAACATTTATGAAGGGATTCAGGGAAACCGGCAGGCGGACTTGAGTCCTGGAGATGGGAAGTACAGTGCCTGCACTCTGAAGGAGGGGTGTTAATGTTGCAGTTTAAAAACTGTAGTGTAAAGCACCCTTCTGGCAAGACAGTGATGGAGTGAATGATGGTGAAAGTTTTTCTTTTTCGGGCCACCCTGCCTTGGTGGGAATCGGCCGGTGTGATAATAAAAAAAAAAAAAATAAAGTACTAAATAAGCTACCATGGCTCCAAAGAAAGCTCCTAGTGCCAAGCCTGTGGTAAAGAAGGTGAGAAATATGATTGAATTTAAGAAAAACATCATTGAACAATATGAAAGTGGCACAAGTGCGGCCGAACTGGCCAGGATGCATAAGAAACCCTACACAACCATATGTTCCATGGTGGCCAAGAAAAAGGAAATTAAGGACACTGTTGTTGCAAATGGGGTAACTATGCTGACAAAAATGAGATCACCAGTACTCGAAGAGGTTGAGAAGTTATTATTGGTGTGGATAAATGAGAAACAATTAGCAGGAGATACTCTTATGACTTCGAATATTTGTGAAAAGGCTAGGCAGTTGCACAACGATCTGGTAAAGAAATTGCCTGAAAATAGTGGTGATGTGAGTGAATTTAAGGCCAGCAAAGCTTGGTTTGAGATATTTAAGAACCGTACTGGCATACACAGTGTGGTAAGGCACGGTGAGGCTACCAGTTCGGACCACAAGGCGGCTGAAAAATATGTGCATGAATTCAAGGAGTACACAGAGGCTGAAGGACTGAAACCTGAACACGTGTTCAATTGTGACGAAACAGGCCTCTTCTGGAAGAAAATGCCAAAGAGGACCTTCATTACACAGGAGGAAAAGGCAATGCCAGGACACAAGCCTATGAAAGACAGGCTGACGCTAATTTCTGTGCTAATGCTAGTGGGGATTTCAAAGTGAAGCCATTACTAGTGTGCCATTCTGAAAATCCCAGTGTGTTCAGGAAAAACAATGTTATGAAGAGTAAATTGTGTGTGTTTTGGAAATCTAATAGTAAGGCATGGGTCATGAGGGAAATTTTCGTTGAGTGGTTCAATGAAGTGTTTGGCTCTAGTGTGAAGAACTACCTCCTGGAAAAGAAATTGGTTTTAAAGTGCCTGCTAGTAATGGACAATGCACCTGCTCATCCTCCAAACTTGGATGACCTAATTTTCGAGGAGTTTGGGTTCATCACAGTAAAGTTCTTGCCCCCGAATACCACTCCTCTCCTCCAGCCCATAGACCAGCAGGTCATTGCAAATTTTAAAAAACTCTACACCAAAGCAATGTTTCAAAGGTGCCTGACTGTGACCACAGACACTCACTTGACCCTAAGGGAATTTTGGAGAGAACACTTCAGCATCCTCCATTGCATAACCCTTATAGGTATGGCTCAGGAGGGAGTGACTACCAGGACTTTGAACTCTGCTTGGAGAAAATTATGGCCAGATTGTGTCGACAAGAGGGAATTTGAAGGGTTTGGGACTGACCCTGATG